TTTTCTTCCTCCCCATTTTTATCCTGTGAGGTAGGTTAGGCTGAGAAATAAATGTGCACTTCTGCAGCCTGATCCTGTGCAAGATTCTTCAGGTGTAAGTTATATGGGATTTGGTGGGACTGCAGATCCATAGGATAGAGATGGAGGGAATTGGTGGGTCATCTTGCCCCCGCCCCCACCCACACACCCCGCAATGCAAGGATATACAAATGTCTCATACGAGGATTGAACCTGTAACCTTGGCATTATCGCCACACTTTAGACAACTGAGCTATCCCAAGTGTGCATGAATTGCAATCTTGGTCACATTTTTTATCCCTTGAAAGTAGAGGGAAGATAGAGGGAACGTTCGTCCATATGTGGTGTAAAAGGATAAAAGAGTATTGGGCAATGATCCATGATGAATTGAAAAAAAATGTTTACTTTCCCCAAAAAAACTAAAATCCTTTCTGTTGGGGATAATTCAGACTGAAATTCCCAGGTTTCAGAAAAGGTTATTTATGTAATAAATATTTTGGCGGCTTGTGTTTTGTTAGCCCCAAAATGGAAAACAAGTGAGGTCCCAACCCAAGAAGAATGGAAACTTAAGTTGACAGAATATGCGCAGCTTGCAGACTTAACATATAAAATAAGAGAACCAGAAGAAGATACGTTTAGAGAAGATTGGAAAACGTTTATTGAATATATGGGAAATAACTGTGTACAGCTGAAAACACTGGCAGCATTAAGATAAATTCAGCAGTGTAAATAAGTTTTGATGGATGTAATAATGGAATACTGACTGGCATAGTTTTTGCAAAATATGCAGGGATTTATTATATGTAAAATGAACCATGGAAAGAGAAGAAAGGAAGTCACTGATATGTTAAGAATGCAAAAATGAGTCCTTTCAATTGTAAAATGGGGGGAAATTTTTAAAGAAAGTAAATTATTTTCAAACTTTTCCTTATGCTGCACAGGCCCTACTTGAAGGACAACAGCAGGCAGAAGAATCCAGCTCCCTCCAAAGCACAACCTGTAAGTAGACAAGATCCAGTGAGCCTCTGTATTGTGATCTAGAGAGCCAGAGTGCTGTAGTGGTTAGATTGCTGGACTGGGATCCGGGAGACCAGGGTTCAAATCAGTTGGCCATCAAGCTCCCTGGGTGACCCAGGGCGGTCACTGCCTCTCGGGTTAATTGAAGGAGAACCATGTACACCACTTTGAGCTCCTTGGAGGAAAAAGTGGAATGCAAGTGCAATAAATGAATAATAAATGTATATTCTGACCAATGACATGAAGAGGGTCTGAGACTCTGGATCTTTCTTGGGGCCACCCTTGCTCGGGTTTTAGATCCAGTCCCTTTTACCAGGATAATCTCTCTTTGCCTCACAATAGCTGGTGTGAGCTGGCAAGCTCTCTTGGCAGTGGAGCCCAAGGCCACTCGGAAGGTGGCAACTTGTGTTGGAGGAAAACCTTGCTGTTCAAACCTCCTGTCGCAGGAAGAAGGGAGGCATCCTCTGGTCTCCAGTTCTGACAAATATATAGAGAGTCATCCTCATTCTTTCTCCCCTCTGGAGCTGTACAAATTTGGTGACCGTTACTGAATTATCACTATATTTGTTTATATCGCACCGTTTCCCCAGAATGGCACTCAAAGTGGCTTGCACAAACTGAAACAACGCAGACAAAATACACTACAGGATGCTAAAAACATTTTTTTAAAAAAGTTTAAAAGTAATAATAATAATATATAATAATAATAATAATTTATTCTTTGTACCCCGCCCATCTGGCTGGGTTTCCCCAGCCACTCTGGGCGGCTTCCAACAAAGATGAAAAATACACTAAAATGTCACATATTAAAAACTTCCCTGAACAGGGCTGCCTTCAGATGTCTTCTGAATGTCAGGTAGTTGTTTATCGCTTTGACATCTGATGGGAGGGCGTTCCACAGGGCGGGCGCCACTACCGAGAAGGCCCTCTGCCTGGTTCCCTGCAACTTGGCCTCTCGCAGTGAGGGAACCGCCAGAAGGCCTTCGGAGCTGGACCTCAGTGTCCGGGCAGAACGATGGGGGAGGAGACGCTCCTTCAGATATACTGGACCAAGGCCGTTTAGGGCTTTAAAGGTCAGCACCAACACTTTGAATTGTGCTCGGAAACGTACTGGGAGCCAATGTAGGTCTTTCAAGACCAGTGTTATGTGGTCTCGGCGGCCGCTCCCAGTCACCAGTCTAGCTGCCGCGTTCTGGATTAGTTGTAGTTTCCGGGTGACCTTCAAAGGTAGCCCCACGTAGGTCGGTAAATTCAACTGGATCTGTTCTTTATATTATAGTCATACCTTGGGTTGAATGTGCTTCAGGTTGAACGCTTTCAGGTTGCACTCCACGGCAACCCGGAAGTAACAGAGTGCGTTTTCACCGCTTGCGCATGTGCAGACGCTCAAAATCACATCACACATTCTATTCAGGATGCAAACGGGGCTCCGGACAGATCCCATTCGCATCCCGAGGTACCACTGTATTTTAATTCTATTAAAATACAGTTTCTGTAATAAAAACAGCACAACCCTATTTAAAGCTCTTTCTTTAAAAAAAAACCAGTCAGGTCCTACAGGCCTGTCAGAATAAAACAGTCTTCACTTGCTAGCAGAAGGAAAGCAAGGAGGAAGGCAGTCTAGGGTCATTAGGGAGGGAGTTCCAAAGGCCCTCTCCCACATCCTGAAGCATGCCCGTGAGGGTGGTGGGGTGGGAAAAAGCCTCCCCCAAAGATCTCATGCACTTAATGCATTCTCAGACCATGTTTTCTGCAAGGCACTCTGCACATGCTTTTGTTGTTAGTCGTTTAGTTGGTGACCGACTCTTCGTGACCCCCTGGACCAGAGCACGCCAGGCACTCCTGTCTTCCACTGCCTCCCCCAGTTTGGTCAAACTCATGTTGGTAGCTTCGAGAACACTGTCCAACCATCTCGTCCTCTGTCGTCCCCTTCTCCTTGTGCCCTCCATCTTTCCCAACATCAGGGTCTTTTCCAGGGAGTCTTCTCTTCTCATGAGGTGGCCAAAGTACTGGAGCCTCAGCTTCAGGATCTGTCCTTCCAGTGAGCACTCAGGGCTGATTTCCTTCAGAATGGAGAGGTTTGATCGTCTTGCAGTCCGTGGGACTCTCAAGAGTCTCCTCCAGCACCAGAATTCAAAAGCATCCATTCTTCGGCAATCAGCCTTCTTTATGGTCCAGCTCTCACTTCCATACATCACTACTTGGAAAACCATAGCTTTAACTATACCGGCAAGCCACTCCAGTATCCCTGCCAAGAAAACACCATGGACAAAGACAACAGGCACATGCTTTTAGTTTCCCCAAATTCAAACAAGTAACATGTCAGATTCACTGTTGTTTTTATGTGAAAGTGCAATATTTCTCATCCTTCCTTCCCTCCCCCCCCCTTTTCTCTGCTGTCTAAAAGCTCTTTTCCCAAATGCTCCTGTCTTTCTATACATTGAATTACTCAACTTAAAGGTATTTCTCTAAGATTTCTCACTAAAATTGTCCTCATGCCGATGATTGCATGGGCATTAAGTTATCCCTTGAGTATGTCACAATGTTCTGTTAAAGCACATCTGTCCATAGGGCTCATTATATATATTTTAAAGAACTCCTTCAAAATAACTGAACAGACATGGCACTTTTCAAGCTAAGTTGAGATCTGAATAGTGGCAGGGAAGGCTGCCTGCTTTGCTGGGTTCACAGGACCAGATTAAGAGGCACTTGTTTGCTCAGGCTCTGTGGAGCATCGGAAGAAATTGGCCAAGGTCTCCATGCCATTATTATTTTTATTTATCTATGAAAATAGATGCATACTGCTAAATCATAAATATATACAGTGGTACCTTGGTTCCCGAATGTAATCCATTCCGTAAGACCGCTCGACTTCCGAAACGTCCGAAAACAAAGGGAAGGCTGCAAATGCAATTAAGAAAATTGAAAAACGTGGAGCAGAAGCCGTTCAACTTGTGAGGTGCATTCAAAAACAGAAGCATTTACTTCTGGGTTTTCGGCGTTTGGGTTCCAAAACGTTCAACAATGGAGATTTTCGAGAACCGAGGTACCACGGTATACTCTCTCTGTGTGTGTGTGTGTGTGTGTGTGTGTGCTTTGCAGCAATAAAAACAATTAAAGCATAACAAAGTCAAAATCGGACATCAGTTAATCATTGTGGAAGAATTCGTTCTTAGTTGCCTGCATAGGTCTGACGGAATAGAATGCTTTTCAGCACGTGCTTAAAAGTTGGGACAGAAGCTGAATCTAGTGGCAGAGAGTTCCACAGGATGGGAACAATGGCACTAAAGGCAACGGGTCTGTAAGGATTTTAATATTTTTGTTTGCTCAAAGGCTTCTACTATTTTTCTAATTCTGTTTTATATAAAATGCCCTGAAAGCTCTATTTGGTGAAAAGTTGATTTAGAGAGTTTCTCAGATAATTTCACCATATTATTTTCTCCAATTCCAGACTGTCGGATCCCGGAAAACCGTTGCCCCAAGCACAGCCAAAAGTGCATCGACCAGGGAAGCAAAGGGGTCGGGACCTGCTAGCAAAGTCCTTCCAGATAAGCCATCCAGGGCTCTTGTGCCTCGGGAGCCAAACAATGCACCCACACAACTTCCAAGGAAGCGGGGGCCCGTACTTCCTCTCCCCTCAAAGCCCCCTGCTAGAAAACACCCTGAGAAGCTGGTCAGCAGGAACTCATCTGCTGGACATTGCTTAGGCAGGACAAGAGAACCTGGAAAGCAGGAATTGGCCACAGCATCCGGGACATCAAAAGTCCTTTCAGACTCAAGCAAGGCAGAGCAGGATAAAGAGAACTCTGGCCTGAAGCACGTTGGGCAGCCTCAGAAGAGAGAGACGTCTCGCTTCAGCCTCCAAGCCAAGTCCCAAGCTGGCTCAAAAGCGCCCGTGAAGAATGGCAAGCAGGCTATGGAAAAGAGAACCCTTTCGGAAAACCACAGGGCTGCTGCAGTAAGCCCAGAGCACCCTTAGGGGGTCCTCAGAGGCAAGTCAACAGTATCTCAGTGGTGCGGACTTCACCACCCCGTGGACGGCCCTCGGCTGTTTCTAGGCCAGGAGTCCGAGGCCAAAATCCCAGATTAATAAAGCAGTCTGCGGTGATTCCACAGGCCGCTGGTCTGCCTGTCCCTGGAGGGTCTCTGGCTGGGAAGGAAGAAACAGTGTCATCCTCATCCCTGGGCGTTCTTCAGAGGGGTCGGTCCAGGCCACAGGCTGGTGCTCTGCAGGAGAGACCGCTGCCCGGTCGCCACGGGGCCTTGCAGAGGAAACGGAAGGCCACTCCGGAGAGATGTCGTTCAGCGGCGCCTGGTGGCGCCAAGCAGAACAGAAGCCCAGCAGGGAGGGACCCGGGCAGCAAGAAGTTCAAGCAAGCGCCCAGGACTCCCCAGCCAAAATCCAGGCGCAGAGCCTCGGAGCAGGTCTCTGGAGGACGCGGGAAAGGCGCACCCAGAGAAAAGCAGCCGGCGAGGGAGACAGGCCAAGAGCCCAAGACCCCAGGCACTCGGAATCGGAGGCAAGTTGAACCCAGAGCGGGTTGCATTCACTCATTCCATCTGGGCTGAGGCTGCCCTGAGCAGCGACTAGCAAGGGCGCATTGTGGGGATCTGTGCCCCTTCTTGGGTTTGCCCCTGGAATTTTTGGGCTCTTGTTTACAACAGATCAGAGAAGTGGGTGCCCGAGTGGCTCTTGCACCCACTTCAATTATTCATTTATAAAAATAAATAATAATATTTTTTATTTATACCCCGCCCTCCCGAGCCAAGGCCGGGCTCAGGGCGGCTAACAAGCAATAATAAAAAGAAGTTGAATGAATGCAACTTAAAAACAAGATTAAAATACAACATTAAAATATTGAAACATTAAAATATTAAAATGCAGCCTCATCACAGGAGGAGGAAGGAAAAAGGAAAACATCAGAGCAGCTTACAGTAATAAATGCATAGAACTATGCCATCAAAACTGTACAGTTGTACTTTGGATCCCAAAGGCCCTGGAACTTGGATGTTTTGCTTCCCGAACGCCGCAAACCCGGAAGTGATTGTTCCGGTTTGCAAACGTTATTTCGGAACCCGAACATCTGACGGGGCTTCCGCGGCTTCCGATTGGCTGCAGGAACTTCCTGCAGCCAATCAGAAGTTGCAATTTGGTTTTGGAAGTTGAACAGACTTCCGGAACGGATTCTGTGTCAATTTCCAAGGTACAACTGTATAAAGAAGTTTAGAACACACATCGATTAACCATTGTGGGATGATGTATCCTTAATTGTCTGCACAGGCAGGCATTTAAAGTTTGGCACAGAGGTTGCCCGCTAAATCTCTAGTGGCAGAGAGTTCCATAGGACTGGACTGATGCCACTATATTGTTCCATCTGTCTGTCTTTCCTGTGTGGGGAATGGGGTCTAGGCGTGTCCCTTAAAGGTGGGCCAGCGCATGGCCAAACTGCTGCCTCAATCCCTCATGCACCTGTGTGCTGTAATGTTCAGAGGAACCCCTAGATCTTTATTCAGCTGAGGTGCCTCAATATCTCCACAAGGTTCTGCTGATGGACTAATAGGCGATTCAAGATTACAGTTCGGAAAAGGCACACCTGCTTGCAAATAGACCTTCCACACTTGACCGGGGACATCGTGTCCATGTGTTACTTTGTGTGCATGAGGAGCCACCCTCTTGGGAATGATGAGCTGTGATTCCTGCATTGCAGCGGGTCAGGCTAGATGGCCCTTTGTGTCCCTTCCAGCTCTGCAATTCTATGAATACTGAAGGCACACAGAAAGCAGCCCCAAACAAAGGAGGGACAAGGAAGAAGAAAAGTGATAGGCCTGCAAGGAGTCATAGATGACCCCAGTTTTGCTCTGGCTTCTAACTATTAATTGGACCTCCTTGGCCATGGGTAGGCAAACTAAGGCCCGGGGGCCAGATCCGGCCCAATTGCCTCCTAAATCTGGCCTGCAGACAATCAGCGTGTTTTTACATGAGTAGAATGTGTCCTTTTATTTAAAACGCATCTCTGGGTTGTTTGTGGGGCATAGGAATTCGTTCATTATTATTTTTCAAAATAGAGTCCGGCCCCCCACATGGTCTGAGGGACGGTGGACCTGCCCACAGCTGAAAAAGTTTGCTGACCCCTGTTCTTGGCCATGGGTAGGCAAACTAAGGCCTGGGGGCCGGATCCGGCCCAATCGCCTTCTAAATCTGGCCCGGGGACGGTCCAGGAATCAGCGTGTTTTTACATGAGTAGAATGTGTCCTTTTACTTAAAATTCATCTCTGGGTTATTTGTGGGGCCTGCCTGGTGTTTTTACATGAGTAGAATGTTTGCTTTGATTTAAAATGCATCTCTGGGTTATTTGTGGGGCATAGGAATTCCCCCCCCCTTTCAAAATATAGTCCGGCCCCCCACAAGGTCGGAGGGACAGTGGACTGGCCCCCTGCTGAAAAAGTTTGCTGACCCCTGTCCTTGGCCATCCTATTGCCCTCAAAGCCACAGAGGCTCTGATCAAGACCAGGCTTTTCACTGTAGCCTGGGAGATGCGTCAAGAGTGGCAGTGAGAGCCACCAACTCAGACGGCTTTAAAAGAGGATTAGACAAATTCATGGAGAGGCCTTTTTCCACCTGCCTTACCCCACCATTCAGCTCTAGGAGTCTTTCCCAGACTTTGAGAACAGCAGCAGCAGCTGGGAAGAAAGAAGGGATCATTTTTTTAACTGAAAAATTCATAAGTTGTGTGTCATCGTTTCTCAATTTGATCCTTTTACGTGGTTTGGTATGTTTTGTGGGATTTTATGCATTGTAAATTGCTGCCGTTTTTATTGATTATACTTTTGCAATTCTTTATTGTTAAGTGTGAACTATTTAATTTTTATCTGCTGGCATTTAATTATACTGTTTACAGTGGTACCTCGGGTTACAGACGCTTCAGGTTACAGACTCCGCTAACCCAGAAATAGTGCTTCAGGTTAAGAACTTTGCTTCAGGATGAGAACAGAAATCGCGCGGCAGCAGTGGGAGGCCCCATTAGCTAAAGTGGTGCTTCAGGTTAAGAACAGTTTCAGGTTAAGAACGGACCTCCCCTCCAGAACGAATTAAGTATTTAACCCGAGGTACTACTGTACTGTTATATTTTAATGCCTTATTAAATATGTATTCATTAGATATGTTGTTCTGGCATTTTTGTATTGGGTCAGATTGTGATTAGGCGTGTGATCTCTGCTGTCTGTCTTGTTGCTCCTTCAACTTGCAAGCCGCCTCGTTTGTAGCAATACAGAAAGGCGGTGCACAAATTAAAAGTGAAATGAAAGTGGCCGCTGATCCGGCCGGCCTGTCTTCGGTTCTGACGTCGTCTGACCTCTCCTTGATCTCCCTTAGGAAGCAGCTAGAGGAGTGGTTGGCATCCAAAGGGAAACTATACAAGCGGCCCCCGATGACCTTCCCCGTTAAAAGGCGGCCCCCGCCCAAGGAGAAGGAGGCCTTGGACCGCTCCTTCTGGGACTGCATGGAGGAAGAGATGGAGCGGCAAAAGGTGGCACAGCAAATCGCCAGCACCTTGGCAGAGTGCATGAAGCTGGCAGACGAGGTGAGCTTTGGGTCTTCCATCTAGTCTGGAAAGTTGTCCAGGAGCTTCATCCTTCGATGGGGCAGAAAGTGCAGGCCTGGTTGGTTAGACTGATAAGCGCCACCCATCAATAAGTATTCACCGTGTTGGCTTAAAAGCAGAACCGTTTACAAAATAAAACATGCAATCATTAAAATCCACAAGGAATGATAAAAGCAGGGAGAAAAAGCTGTCATGGTGGACCAAGGCAGCCTCCATATTGTTTTTCTTTACTTTGAAACTATCCTTTCTCCCACCCTGCCGGGAGCAGACTTTTTCCACAATTGAGCAGGATATAAATGAAATAAGGAAGTCAATCCGGTTTTTATTGTTTGCGGCCCTTGGCCCATTGCGCTGTAACTCTCAAGAAACAAACTGGGCAGTCCAAGAGTCAGTTGAAACAGAGACATTTTCAGAAGTGCCCGTTGCCCAACATCAAAGGGAATGTTCCCTAAATCATTTATATGGGGGGGGGTGTCTGAATTGAGCCTGTGGAACTCCCTGACCCTTTGCAGACCGAAGTGGGGAATGTCAGGCCTGACGGGCAGCAAGTTCAAGCCCATTTTCTATGGGGAAGTCAGAATGCAGGACCCGTCTGCATATATTATTATTAGAGCTGTTTGACAGTGGAACAGACCACCTTGGAAAGGGGTTGACTCCTTCATGGGAGGTTTTTAAAGGGAGGTTGGGTGACTTAAGGTTCAAGGGGCAGGTAATAATTAAAACACAAAATTACACCAAAAACAAAACAAAAAACAATTTAAAACAACTCAGAATTACAGAAATAAGGAGGGTCCTAAAATATATGTCTCCGGGGTCAAGAGGGACTGGGTTTTTTACGCCGCCTTTTCTTGGCAGGCCTGGGTCTCCCAATGCTCGGCTCTGTAATGTCCGGAGGTACAGGAATGCCCACCCAGTTTTCTGTCTTCAGTGCCAGCGACTTTGCCATCTGCTGGTTCTATCCTCAAGCACTGGGGCAAAAGGAAAACAAAAACCAATTTTGCACAAACACACCCTTAAGGTTGGGCTAGCGCTGCCCAGTGGAAACAGTCTGCCTACAGAGCGAGCCCAAAATGTCTCTCATCTGCCGGCCTCCTTCTGACTCCTTTCTGTTTCCCTCCAGGGGGTTCCTTCGGAAGAGCTCCTGGCCATGCTGTCCCGCATCCCAGAGGCAGAGAAGTTTGCCCGGTTCTGGGCCTGCAAGGCGAAGCTGTTGGCCCGCCAAGGCCTGTTTGATGCAGCCGGGCTGTACCGTGCTGCTGCTTGCGCTGGAGCTGTGGTGGGTGGCATTCCCTTACTCTTGTCTGCTGTGTCTGCGGCAGAGAGGCAGAGGCAGTGCGGTGTAGTGGTTAGAGTGCTGGGCCAGGACCTGGGAGGGCAGGGTTCAAAATCAGACCCACGGAGGCCCAAAGGAGCTTTTCCCCTTCCAAGGACATGCCAAGAGGTGTGGGGAGGTGCAGGGCTCCCCGACAAAAGCAGAGTCCTACGCCAGCCTCCTGCCTCCCTGACCGTCTGGGCTTGAGCTTCCTGAACCCCAAAGCCTGGGCCGAAAATGCTCCGAGCATCTGCTTGACTGGGATTTGCGCAAGAGGTGCCCCAGAACGTGGGGCGCACCCCCAGTAAGGAGCCATTTCTTGCTATGGGCTCTTGTTCACATCAGATCAGGGGGGCTGGACTTTCCTAGATGATCCCTGGGAGTCCCTACAAGTCTATGATTCTCTGGGGGCTGCTGGAAGACCTGTGCGCCCACAAGCAGGGGAGGGGGTTGCAATTGGCTGTGGTCCCCCCACCTCTGCTATAAAGGACCATCCGTCCTGGGGTGGAGCTGTTAATCAGCCAATCCTGCGGAATCTCCCTTGCTGGGGCCGCCAGCTCTGTGCCCCCACCATGTGCGTCTCTCCCCCTGCCCCCCAAACAGCTGTAGCAAGAGGGTGTTTGTGCATGAAACCTGCTCCCTCGAAAGGTGGTGGACTTGCCTTCATTGGATATACCGTATTTTTTGCTCTATAAGACTCACTTTTTCCCTCCTAAAAAGTAAGGGGAAATGTGTGTGCGTCTTATGGAGCGAATGCAGGCTGCGCAGCTATCCCAGAAGCCAGAACAGCAAGAGGGATTGCTGCTTTCACTGCGCAGCGATCCCTCTTGCTGTTCTGGCTTCTGAGATTCAGAATATGTTTTTCCTTGTTTTCCTCCTCCAAAAACTAGGTGCGTCTTGTGGTCTGGTGCGTCTTATAGAGCGGAAAATACGGCATTTTTAGCGGAGGTGGAGGATCGTTCACCTGGGATTCCTGCATTGCAGGGGGTTAGACTAGATGACTCCTTGGGGGCCCTTCCAACTCTATGATTCTGTGAAATCCTGCAGGCAGCGCTCTGAGGCCTGATATGGAGGTCAGGTGGGATTGCTATGAGGAATTATGAAAAATGAAGCAAGCCATTGTGTCAGCAATGAAAGCATTGCGTTGACTGGGTTTGAGTCATTGACAATAGTTTCTGATCAAATCCCATAAGCCTCTGCATCTCTGCCCATCTTCTCTTACTGTCCATTTTCTACGCCTGACAGGCACGTATAAGCACTCTAAAACACAGACTGGTTGCTTCCCCAGGCATCCTGAGCCATAAAGATAGTAGGTTACTTTAGCTTTTGTTAATCTTTAGGTAGACGCGGGTGGCACTGTGGGTTAAACCACAGAGCCTAGGGCTTGCCGATCAGAAGGTCGGCGGTTCGAATCCCCGCCACGGGGTGAGCTCCCGTTGCTCGGTCCCTGCTCCTGCCCACCTAGCAGTTTGAAAGCACGTCAAAGTGCAAGTAGATAAATAGGTACCGCTCCGGTGGGAAGGTAAACGGCGTTTCTGTGCGCTGCTCTGGTTTGCCAGAAGCGGCTTAGTCATGCTGGCCACATGACCCGGAAGCTGTACGCCGTCTCCCTCGGCCAGTAAAGCGAGATGAGTGCCGCAACCCCAGAGTCGGTCACAACTGGACCGAATGGTCAGGGGTCCCTTTACCTTTAGGTTGATCTTAGGACCAGGAAACAGAGTTTCACATGGAAGTGATAAAGATGCCTAATCTTTACTGCCTGTTTATGACCTCCGGGGTTGCTGAATGCATTCCTCCTTTAGTCCTGGTTTATTTACCCCAGAATGTATGCAGCCTCAGATTAGCTCTTTGTAGTTTTAACTTTAACTTCGTCCCCATGTGGGGTTTTTTTAAATGCTCAGAGGAAATCTGATTGGTTCTTACAAACACTGTGTAAAGGGTTCTTTGGTTTATAAAACAACCTGGGCCAGGGGGTGGACAGATTATTATTAACACTTCCTCCCAGAGTCTTGCTGGTCAAGCCTGGTGTGTATTTTATTAATCAGAGTCCAATCCTTGCTTGCTTTTGGAACGCAACAGCCTGCTCTGGTCACTCAGTGATGGACTTCCTTCTGTTCTCATTCCAGCCTCTACGAGAGTTGAGAGATGCCCTTGTTGACACTCTGAAGTGTTCCAGTCAAGCCTGGGGTAAGCAATGGATCAGGCCAAGGGCCCATCTGGTCCAGCATCCTGTTCTCACAGGGGCCAGTCAGATGCCTTTGGGAACCCGCAAGCAGAATTCGAACGCAAGAGCCCTCTCCCCTCCTGTGGTTTCCAGCTGCTGAGATTCAGACGCACTGCTGCCTCCAGAGCATAGCTATCATCGCTGGGTGGTCTGGGCTTCTGGCCTGCCAGCCAAACTCTTCCCCCCCCACCCAAACACACACGCGAAAGAGTGAAGAGAGGGCAGCTTCTCCTCCCCCATGTAGAATACAGTGGTACCTCTGGTTGCGAACAGGATCCGTTCCAGGGCCCCGTTCGCAACCTGAGCAGAATGCAACCTGCGTCTGCACGGGTCATGATTCGCCACTTCTGCGCATGCGCATGATGTCATTTTGAGCATCTGCGCATGTGGCGAAACCCGGAAGTACCCCGTTCCATTACTTCCGGGTTGCTGCAGGAGGTATCCTGAAAGTACATAACCTGAACTGAACATAACAAGAGGTATGGCTGTACCTTACTGCTGCTTTAAGGCCAGTGCCTAGTGAAGGAATTGTAAACAAAATGATTTTTCAGTTTCCTCACTGGAAGTTAATGTTGTATCTCTGCATCTGGGAATATACGCAGGCGGCCTTTTGCAGACAATGCCCAAAGCAAGCCCTGCATCCCTCTCTCAGTTCTGCAGGCAATGCTCCTGGTTTTTCCAGATGGGGTTGGGCTAAGCATTCTTGGGTCCCAGTCAAAGTTTCCATTTTCTGGCCCCCTTGTGTCAAAACCTTCCTGCGAGGGAGCGATGTTCCTTTGCTTCTTGCCAAAGCTTCCTTAGAGCTCAGGACCATTCCCTGAAAGAGTGTGTCCCAGGTTGAGCCTAGTATCTGCAAGGAACCGTGCACCTCCAAATTCAACACAGCGGATCTCGTGACCCCGTCCTCAATCCCCAAAGTGGCCATGGACTGTTTGACTCATGCCCTCCTTTCCTTCAGCAGAGGCGGCTCCCTGTTCTTCAGAGTTTTCCAAGCATTGCACATCGAGAAGGCTGCGTGCGTGTTTCTTTTTACCCAATTGCGATTTCTACATTTATAAGTCTGCGTTCAGTTTATATTTTGTTTCTCTTGTGACTTAATGCACCGTAGCTTGCTCTGCATGTCCCAATGCAGCCCTGCAGGGAGAGAGCTTTGGACCTGGACGGATGGGGGCGGGCAGGGAGGGGTAACGCTGGAGAATCTCAGCACTGTTTGAATCTTGTTGGGCCTGAGAGCGCTGGAGTTGCCTCCCTGGCAGCATGGCTGGGTAGGCAGCAGGCAGGAGCAGGGCAGGACCATAGAAATAAAGGGCCAGCAGCCTCGAAAATAAGGGACCAGCAGCCAAAATAAGGGATTTTCCGGGCACAGGTATGTTCAACTTCTGAGCCCCTCCGAGCTAAAGGCAGAAAGCCCAGCCAGCAGCCAAACGAAGCCTCAAGGGGTGGTTCCCACAGCGCAGCAACCCGGCAAAGGGGATGCAGCAAGGAAAACCACCGTCACCTCTCTGCTGGGAAGTGCTGAGCAAAGGCGAGTCCCCAAGCAACGTGGCTGATTTGATCGGCACAAGGCATGCAAGCTCCACCCCCCCAGTCGTTCTTAGACTCCTTACTGGGTGAGCAACGCAGCCAAGCAACACAGGTGGAGCCTCCCTCCTCCTTGGGTGGGAGGGAGGGAGAGGAGCTGCTTCCTTTGAAACCCGGGGAATTTAAGGGACATGGCACTGGGATAAGGGACTGTCCCGCCAAATAAGGGACGCTTGACAGCTATGGGCAGGACCCTCTGGAGCCAGCTTGAAAGGAACATGCCCCGCTTGCTGTCGGTTGCCAGCTGTGGCAGTGGGACCTCTGGGCGACTGCCTGCCCCTGGAAGCAGGTCAGTCTTCTGCATGGGGACATGGAGCAGTTTCTGCAAAACCAGAATGTGTTTACCCTTCTTGCCCTTGCCAGCAAGGCCCCTCCAGGCTGCTCTGGGCAAAGGCAGGCCCAGCTTAGGGCTCTTCCTCTTCAGCCACTGCCTCTCCTTCAATGGCTTCTCTCTCTATCTTCTCCCCCAACAGCAACCCCTGCTGAACTCCGACTTCCCGGCAAGGAGCGGGCACAGAGCAACGGGCAAGGACCAGCTTGCCAGCCTCTTTCGGCAATCAAGCTTCAAGTGGCGTCACTGCCCAGGTAAGAGGTGGGCCTTAGCTCTGTCTTTTTCAATGCTACCCTATCCTTTCTGAGGTGAGGCAACCAGGAAAGGAAGGACAAGATGGCGGAGCAGGCCGGGGCAACTGGCCGCCTTCTGGTTCTGAGGGGTCCTCTATGATTCCATGCCCTCTGTCCCTTTCCAGAGCCAAGGAGCCGAGTGCGAGGCCAAGCCTGAAGCTCCTGACCCCTGTGCGGCGGTCTCTGCGGATCGAGCGGGCGTCTGCTCGCTACCCGCAGATGCTGAGGGACCACGACCCCATCGTGTCCTGCCTGGACGAAATCACGGATGCGGAGGACGGCTGTCGCTTCATCTTCCGCAAGAACGAAGCTTTGCCAGAGACGGTGGAGGTGGAGGGCTTTCTGCCACGGACCTCGGCGCCAGCCTCCCCAGACCCACCCCTGCGCAGGCCCCTGTTCTGTTAGAGCTGCATCGGCGGACTGGAAATGTGGGGGGTCATAGCATGGGACCCTTTTCAGAATATATATATATATATGCATCTTTATTCTTGAAATGATTAAAAAAAGAAAAAGAAAACAACCTTTTGACAACACGGGTGGCGTTAGGAAGCGGCAAGAATTGGGGGGGGGGTCCCTCATCTCTCCCAGCTGGATTTCTCTCTGAGCAAAAGGAATTTGGGGGGATGGGGAGCCTCTGCCTGCCGTTTTGTGGGCACAGGCAGAGAAGGGTCGTCCCCGTATCCTGGTTGTGGAATGGGTTTTTCAGAGTGGGGTGGGGGCCTGGTGTCCTGGGCTTGGCACCGCCAGGCCTCCCCCTAGACCCCAACGAAGTCCAAGTCTTGGGTGCCAGGTGCCCATGTATGGGAAGCTCCTTGGGCGGTGGCATTTGTGTGGATTTTCTGGGAGCTGCGAGTGGATTGTTAGCTCTTCCGCGTTTCTCGCAAGAGAGGGCATTGTGGCAAAGGGGTTGCACAGGCCTCCCCTTGGACCTGACATGGGGCTGTTTCTAAACTCCTTTCTAGGGCTGCTTCTGGCTTCTCTGCAAGACACTCGAATCCGCTCCATTGCAAGCCATCCTCAGTGGGCAGCCCCCATGCCCCCAAATGCTGCCCCTCTTTTCCCTCGGACAGTCTCCTCCTTTGGGAGGTCCTTGTGCTCGAGGGACAGCTGAGGGCCTTGTCTGGGTTGCCAGTGCTCAGCGATGAGGCCACAGCTGTTCCTGTCAAAACACAGAGCCACAGCCGCCTACATTTGTGGCAACTGCATTGACCTCCCTCAGTGCCCAGGCAGAAGAGGGGCTTGGGTTTTTCCCCAACCCCACCAGAGAGCCTCTCCTTTGCCGCAAGCATCTCCTGATTTCTTCCCAGGACTTCTTGAGTCTTTGGAAGAGCAGGACGGCCTAGTGGTTGGAGCCTTGAGGGAAGGGGCTTCCCTCCAGCACAGTGGCAGGGGGTCACGCTGGATTGCTCCCTTAAATACTTGACCCCACAACCGCAGCGGTGCCTGGGAGTAGGAAGGGATCTCAAAAGCCCTTTGGAGAGGTGGTTGAAGCCAGCAGCCATAAGGAGCTCAGCTGGGGCTGCTCTCCAGAAAGCTCCCACTTTGGAAAGCAGCCGTGGGGCCCTTTGCCTCTCTTTGGAATCGGGAGCGTCACAGGGAAGGGTCTGGGGCGGACCTCTCCTCCCCCCACCCCTCTCTTAGCAGCTTAAGGCATTCGTTCCACTCAAGATTTTCCTTCTGCATCCTCCGTTGGGGTCTGGCTCAGTCGTGCTCATCGTCGGTGTCTTCCTGGGAAGCGCTGTGCAGCTTCTACGGGACAGGGAAACAGTGGTACAGTGTTCAGAGAGGCCCCTAAGCTGCTCTTTTGCAGCAGTTAAAAGTGTTGCATGCTAAACACTTAAGCAGTTTCCTGGATTCAAATCCAGTTGCATGAAATGTAACCCTAAGGCAGTGAGGGGAGGATAATAATAATAATAATAATAATAATAATAATAATAATAATAATAATAATAATAATAATAATAATATAATTTATTGATACCTATCTGGTGGAACCCAGTTCAGGTACTGATTGATTGCGTGCCTTGGTTTTGGAATGGACATCCGGAACTGATGAACCACTGTTGGCAATGACTAACTGAAACCTAAAGCCATTTTCAGTGTGCCGGCGTGGGTGTCAGTAGAGGGCAGCCGAAAACCACGGGAGGGAAAGGAGGAAGAGTGCTGGGGTGTGTTGTGACAGCAGAAGAGCAGAGAGAGACTCACCTGCAGCGGCCTGTGTTGGGGCATCACATGCCCTGCCAGGAGACCCGTCTCGCTGAACTCCACCCGGGTGTGCTCCACGGTGGATTCATGGGGCATCTGGAGGGGCAAGAATTGCCACGCAACTGTCAGGGTTGGGGGGTGGGCATCAGGAGGCAGACCCAGCCTCCCAGAGGAGAAAAAAGCCAAGCTGCTGCAGAGCTGGCCAAAAGCTGCAAGCCTGTGCAGGAAGGCTAGACGGTTGCCCCTCTCGTCCTGTCCCCCTGCCAGCTTAGAAGACTGGTCTCTTCCATAGAAAAAGCCTGTGGTGTAAGAACATTGGAGGAGCCCTGCTGGATCAGGCTGAAAGGGCCCCATCTATTATGGGATCCTGTTCTCACAGTGGCTAATCAGATGTCCCTGTGGGAATCCCTCTCCCCGACCGCCATGTGGTATTCAGAAGCACTGTTGCCCCCAACTGTGAAGGCAGAACACGGTGGTACCTCAGGTTACATGTGCTTCAGGTTACCGTATTTTTCACTCTATAAGACACACTTTTCCCTGCTAAAAAGTAAGGGGAAGTGCGTGTGTGTCTTATGGAGTGAATGCAGGCTGTGTGGCTAAGCCAGAAGCTAGAACAGCAAGAGGGAGAGTGGCGCAGCGCTCCCTCTAGCTGTTCTGGCTTCTGGGATAGCCCGCAAAGCCTCCGCAGGGCAGTGGGATGAAGGCTCCCCGCTGCCCTGCGGAGGCTTCGAGCAGCTATCCCTGGCTTTTGCGGGCAGCTCTGTCCCTTCTCCCACCTCCCGCAAAAGCTAGGGATAGCTGCGCTCCCTTTAAAGAGCGGGTGGCTCTTGCGGGAGGTGGGGGAAGTGACAGAGCACGTGACTCTGTCACTTCCCCCAGCTCCCGCAAAAGCCCCCAAGAGCTACACCCCCTTTAAAGAGCCGTACGGAGCATGTGTGCAGCTCCTGGGGGCTTTTCCTCGAGGAGGGAGAAGGGCAGCCCGGCAGAGCCTGGGATGCATACAGGCTCTGCTCAGAACTCCCTTTAAATAATTTTTTTTCTTCTTGCATTCCCCCTCTAAAAATTGGTGCGTCTTATGGAGCGAAAAATACGGTACATACGCTTCAGGTTACAGACTCCGCTAACCCAGAAATAGTACCTCGGGTTAAGAACTTTGCTTCAGGATGAGAACAGAAATCGTGTGGCGGCGGTAGCGGGAGGCCCTATTAGCTAAAGTGGTGCTTCAGGTTTAGAACAGTTTCAGGTTAAGAACGGACCTCCGGAACGAATTAAGTACCGTATTTTTTGCACCACAACACTCACTTTTTTCCTCCTAGAAAGTAAGGGGAAATGTCTGTGCGTGTTATGGAGCGAATGCCTGCGGGTGGCGGGGGGGATCTGCTGCAGTTGTGAGCAGAGGATCCATGGTTCCCGTTCCTTCCCTCTCCGTGGTTACAAAGCATGGATCCACATGGATCCTCAGGATTTTTGAATTGGGCTACTACAAACTCACTGTCAGATCACATGTCTGTGGCCACATCATGAGCCACAAAAATCATATATCCACTATTTCGTTTAGAATATTTTTTTCTTGTTTTCCTCCTCTAAAAACTACGTGCGTGTTATGGTCAGGTGCATCTTATGGAGCAAAAATACGGTACTTAACCCGAGGTACCACTGTACAGCCAGCAGGGCTGACAGCCATTGATAGCCCTTTGCTCCCTGAACTTGTCTAATCCTCAGCCCTTTCTCTGGGCCAAGATCCATCTCCTGCCCCAGGATGCCCTGCCCACATACCAGGGTGGGTGGTGCCCGGAAAAGGTAGCTGAAAGGGTAATAGAGGAAGTTGATGAAGGAGGCGGCATAAAGGTCTGCGTAGCGCATCAGCTGGTTGGCAAAGAGGGTCTGGCGGGACCCACAGCGGAAGAGGCTCCCCATCTTCCCGTAGCACATGTCCATCTCGTGGGTGACTTTCTGCAAGAGAAGAAGAGTCCCTGCTCAGTCAGGTGGCAAGGATAGAAGCAGGGAAACCTAGGCTTGAGAGGCGGGGTCCTGGCAACCAGGTACCCCTTTTTGGTTTGATGACCTTTGTCAGGGGAGAGGAGACGCACACACACCCGTCTCTCTGTGGTGGTAACACAAATGCTTCGTGCGAGATGCGGCCACAACTTCCAAGTCTACTATCTGTACATTGAGGAGGAGTTTGGATTTGATATCCCGCTTTATCACTACCCAAAGGAGTCTCAAAGTGGCTAGCAATCTCCTTTCCCTTCCTCCCCCACAACAAACACTCTGTGAGGTGAGTGGGGCTGAGAGACTTCAGAGAAGTGTGACTGGCCCAAGGTCACCCAGCAGCTGCATGTGGAGGAGCGGGGAAGCGAACCCAGTTCACCAGAATACAAGTCCACCGCTGTTAACCACTACACCACACTGGCTGGAGGGTGACCAAGAGGATCAAGGGCCTGTAAACTAAGCCTTATGAGGAACAGTTGAGAGAGCTGGGTATGTTCAAATATCTTATCTTCAAATATCTTAAGGGCTGTCACGTGGAAGACAGAACAAGCTTGCTTTCTCCTGCTGGGGGGCAGGAACGGGACGACCCCAAACCAATGGATTCAAAGTACAGTGGTACCTCAGGTTACAGACGCTTCAGGTTACAGACTTCGCTAACCTAGAAATAGTACCTCAGGTTAAGAACTTTGCTTCAGGATGAGAACAAAATCTCGCAACGGCAGTGGGAGGCCCCATTAGCCAAAGTGGTGCTTCACGCTCTCAGGACTTTTGCAAATGAAAGCCCCAGTGAATATTAGAATTGTAGAGTTGCAAGGGTCATCTGGTTCCTGAAATGCAGGAATCCCTGACCGATGGCCGTCCAAAACCTCAAATGAAGGAGATTCCACCACCTTCCAAGGTCATCCGTTCTACTGGCAAACTGCTCTTGCCATCAAAAAGTTCTTCCGAACGTTGAGTCAGAATCGCCTTTCATGCAACTTGAATCCATCAGTTCGGGTCCTCCCCTCTGAAGCAGCACAAATCAAGGTCACTCCAGGTATTTGAAGATGACTATCATGTCACCTCTCAGTCTTCACCAGGCTCAACATCCCCAACTCCCTCACCTGGGAAGTGTCCCTGAAGAAGTCAGCAGATCCTATAAGCAAGAAAGCTCGCCAATGGTGGCAGCTTCTTGGCAAATGACCCATCATGCTGGCCTTGCTCCACATGTAAGGTAGCTTTTTCTAGTATGCAAGTTTTACCATATTATCATCATTATTACAATTTGTATACCACCCTATACAAGGTC